ACGTGTCTGTTGATGGAGCTGGTGTTAGACGCCCAGGCCTCCAGCAGTGTCCGCTCTGTCTTATTGCCGGCTCGCGCCATTATCCGCGTGCTCGCGAAGTTAAGTTCGTGGCCGTCCTCCAGGGTGTGAGCAGCGACCTGAGATAGCGGGTCGCCTTTCCGGACTGCCTGTTTATGCTCCGTTAGTCGCGAGCTAAGCCGTCGTCCGGTCTGTCCTGTGTAGTGGCGACAGCAATCCCCGTAACAAGAACCTAGGACTCGCATATTCGCCTCCATCCATGAGTAATTTCCCCCGACACAATGAGGGTGAAATAAAGGTCATGGTTATGTCGCTCCAGTAATTTCGACTTTTGAAAACCGGACTTCGACTGCAACTGGGGTTCGCTAGCCAAGCCTGGAAACCATGGACCACTAAGGACCTCAGTATTTTCGAAAATGCTCGAAATCTGGAACTATCCTATGAAGTACGATTATCTAGTCTCGACCTCTTCCCTTTGAGTCACAGACAACTACGAGGTGACATGATACAAACACTCCGCACCCTGTGCGCTCAGAACTACTGTCTTGTAGTTGGAGACTGCTCTTAGACAGCAACCACATCAAACCCAAAAGGCGATCCTTTCAAACTACATTTGACTGAAGTCACTATGGATACGCAGTTCTTTTACTCCAACAGAGTTGTTGAATCTCTGATGTGACCAGACTAGGCTCGATCCTGCGACCTAGTAGTTAAAAATGTAACGCCTCTAACCACATGACTAAAAATTGGCGGTCTGGAGAAATTATCCCGTCCATCACCACCAGCCCACGGGGAGCCGGGGTGAGGCAGGAGAAGACCGAGATATCCATAAAGCAAAAGTATACCAAAATATATGATCGCATTGTGAGAAGCACATAGTAAAGTCATAATGAGCCCAAGACATCATTGATTAGCATTTGACCGGAGATATAAGAAGAGTGTGGGGTTTTTGTACAAAGGGCGCCGAAAAAGTGTCTCCCTCGGGAGGTGACGAGACGGAGAGGCTAATCCAGCGAGAAGCAGTTAAGGCTCATGAGGGTTTGTCTGGATGGAATCATCATCATCAATTTCTTTGGTTAGCGCAGTGTGCTGCAGGTAAAAGCCCACTTTTTCGTAGATGAGCTTGCAACCGGACTCCGAGAAGATGTGCATGTCATTGGGGCCCCAGTCCAGTTCGTCGACAATGAAATCCTTCATCTCCTCCGTGGCCTCCACCTGCATGCGTGCCGCCGCATCCGCGATACATCGACGAACGTGCACCTCCTGCAGGGGCAGGAAGGGAACCAGCGCGGTTATGAGGTGTTGGCTGATCAGGTTCGACAACTCGAAGGCGCCTGAAAGGCAGAGGGCGAAGAAAATGCGCCTAGGGAGAGTTCTCCAAAGCCTCACCGCAGTAAAACAAACGCACCTATTGACTTTGTTGGGCGTACCTCCGAGAAACATGACTTGTTTTGGAAGACAATGATGCGATCACTGGAAGAAGAAATTTATTGGCCTGACGTCTCGGATTCTCACTCGAACCCATTGTGACATCCCTGGTGGCAATTTATTTTATTGTCTCTATTTTTGCTACTCACCGTTTGTCAGTAACCAGACTTTATTCATACCACCCTGTGTTTGTCTCTGTATACCTATTCGTCGGTTCTCGGCATTCTTTGTTCATTGTTCTTTCTCCTTTGTCTATTGCTCTTTGTTGCCGCTCGCTTATAGACCGACCACCACACTTTGGCGTCATTCGCTGACTGCTCGACCTTGAATGTACGTCCACCTTTCAATTTATTCCCCGCCTTATTGTGCTCCACTAATCTTTCTATTTATTGCTATAGAACCATCAAGAATAACCGAGTTATCCTGACTGTCTTCTGACATAGCTTTAACCTCGGGTGCGTCTATTCCGGTCAATAAAACAGCACTGAATCTAGAAAGTCTAAAGAATATTAACACCCATAATCAGAGACAGTCGCAGATAAGGGTACTGGTCGCACAAGGAGTGGAGTATTTATCGCACGTGGCTGCCGTGGGACCGTATGCATACTGGAATTTACAGCTCTCGCAATCACCGCTGGGGTCGTAATTGATGCGGTGATGGCTTGTCAGTCCGCGTCCGAGTTGTTAATTGCCGGGATTTCGTCATCCCTTTTTTGCGACTGTCTCTGATGATGGGTTCCAGTGAGAATCCGAAACGTCAGACCAATAAATTTCTTGTTCCAGTGATAGCATCTTCGTCTTTTGAACTGCTTCCTGGAACTCACTCGTTCGCTTCTATCAGCAACGATTTGTTTTACAGACACAGGACACTGTGGCAGCAGCAGCAGTTATTGACCCATTTCTGGCATATCAGCAAAACAGCCGGCTGGTGTGAGGATAATTCTTCTGGGACAGCGGAATTGCGCCGCGTGACGTTTTGGCCCATTTGTAGAATGTTTCTCCGGCAGATGTGGAGGGAAGTGGGTGTATGTGAAAATTAGTAGGATAGAAACGCACGAAACTCAGGAATTCGAACCAAGTTACCCGCCTAGTCATCCGCAAAAAGATCCTTGACAACGCAAACAAATACTAATTACCAAGTCCATAGCTGTGAACAGTCACAAGTTAAGTGGGAGGGTATAATTGGGTCCTAGTGTGGATGGCTGATCCGAATAAGCTGACCGACCAAATTACAACAAAGGGGCGAACTGCTGCAACTCAAAACACCCAGTAGTCATCTGGTGGATTCGATGTGCTGCAGTGGACTGAACGGCTAATTTAGTTCAAGTGAGAAAGAGGCAAGGCTCCTCCGTGGTGGTGTCGCATAAGCCAGGTGTTTTGGGCGCCTTGCCTCTTCTGTTGCGGGTTCGAATTCCGCCGAGTGTGCCAAGTTTCTTACAAGTGGTTCAGTCAAAAAATTAATACCGTCGGGGACAGAAGACGTAAGAAAATAGACATGAATATGTCTTCAATACTGGATGGAGTAGCGATCTGCGGTCCAATAAAAGATAAGCCTTCCTCTCAGTGCGTTAGGGCGGCCAAAAGGGCACCCAGTGTTTTCTTTGCAATTAAACGAACTTTCACAAATGTAGACAAAGAGTTATTTGGAAAATTATACAGAGCGCTCATTCGTTCGCATCTGGAATATGGAATCCAGATGTGGCGTCCGTGGCTCAAAAAAGACTATGAGCTGCTAGAAAGAGTCCAGAGGAGAGCAACAACAATTTTGAAAGGCCTCGGGACTTTACCTTACAACTGCAGACTTAGTGAGCTTAAACTATTTCCTCTTGAATACAGGCAGATTCAAGGAGATCTCATACAGGCGTATCGGATATTGACGAACCGGGACTGTGCCCTAAACCTCGACGATTTCTTCACCCTGGCCACAACAACAAACCTGCGTGGAAACTCTCTAAAACTTCGGGGATCCCGATGCCGCCTGGACATTCGCAGATACGCTTTTCACAGTGAGTCGTCAGTGCCTGGGACGGGCTTCCCGAGGACGTGATAATGGCGGATTCCACGGAGAAATTCAAGCAAAGACTACATGTATGTTTACTTGGAAAATACCGCTTGTCTGGACAGAACAGCTCTTTTGTGCCATACCAACGCCCTGCATACATCTACCGCTGATGCGGATGACTGTCATTTCATTTGACCGATATCATCCACAACTGAATGTTCTCGAGTTTCGGCCCTGCATTTTCAAACGAAAATATTATGTTAAGTGTATATATTACTGACAACCTTATAGTAGCTAGTTTATTTAAAGTTATATATTGCATGTACCGTTTACAATAGGGTTTCAGAGGCATCGCACATTACCTAGATGAGAGACGTTCTAATTCGCAAATGGTCCACTAAAGTCCTCAAACGTGCGTTTATGTTAATGAGAGGTTAAAAGGCTTCTCTTCAGCTTGACGAACGTCACCTGTGATAAAAACAGGGAATTTGAACACGCATATAGAATGAACGATACTGGTCCTAGGGAGGACAAACGAAAAAATAAATTCCGAGTTATTAAGCAGGAAATTACATCTTTAAACTTCGCATGCGGACTTGGGAAACGGCTCCGATGACGAGAGAGTAGCGTGAGCGTGGGCGCGGTGGCTGGCAAAGTGAAGCGGCACGTCTACGCGTGCCAGTCTGGACCTGAACTAAATGCCCCGCCACACCGGTAATTTATTTATTTGGAACGATGTTACTTAACTGAATCAAGTAACGTTTTAATAGCGATTATTTTCATTGTTCATGTACAGTTGTATCTAACATGCTGGCATGTAATCAGTAGGGTTTTCAAAGGCCTTGCCTATTATCCTTACCAAATAAAATAAAAAGGCTCCGGTGACAGGGCAATAGCCACACGCCCAGAGGTGGGCATGGGCTCAGTGGCTGACAAAGTTAAACAGTACGTCTGAGCGTGCCACGCGCGACCTGGTCTCAATGCGTCTACCAGGCCTTCTCAATAGTGGCTCAGGTCCCACATGAGGGCGAGTGCCATAAAGGCCACACTAGGAAGGAGCCACTGCAACATGACTCTCAGTCCCGAGACGGACCGAGGTATGCGGCCGGTCAGCAAGAGTCGGACTTATTACAGCGAGGAATGTGTCGATTTGTCGTAGGGATGGATTCCCCAACCCCAGTGTTGGCCTCTCTTTCTCTCTCCCATGCCCAAATCGACTGTCCACGCCTGTCTACCAACCGGTGATTGGGCGGTCCGTGGCGTGACCGGCCGAAGGCAGCATTTGACAGGTCCAAAAGAACTGTTGTCCCATTATCCACTGTTATCAGATCCCATGCCGGGACTGTCCTCGCCGTTACACAGGACAGACCGGACGACGGCTCAGTTCGCGAGTAACGGACAGTCCAGAGAGGCAACCCGTTATCTCAAGTCGCCATTCCCACCCCGGAGGAAGGCCACAAATTTAACTTCGCGAGTACACGGAGAATGGCGCGGGCCAGCAATAAGACGGGGCGAAGACTGCTGGAGACCTGGGTGTCTGACACCAACGCCATCAACAAATACGTTGATATACCCCTCCCGCTATCACGCGCTCCGTTCCCGCGGCCAAGAGACGAGACCCAATTCCCAGCCAAGGGTGCACGCAGTCACGCCGCCGTGAGACGGCGTGTACTCAGCCTTATCGCAAACACCACCCCCTGCACTCCTAACACACGTACTGTCCCAGAGATCGTGTGTTCATCTTTTTTACATTATCCCCTATTTTTGTCGGCCAGCCTCTGATGTGAGATTCTGCCCCAAATGAATAGTACACCTTACAGAACCTCCAAAATATCGATTGAAGCCCCTCAGATATGGTTTCAATTGCATACTTGTGTCGCGTATTTGCCCCTAGATGCAGATGTGCTGTACCAACACGGGGGCTAGATAGGAGACGGCAGGCGTAATCGGGAATGTATACCCATAACAAATGCCCACATTTTGAGTGTGGTGGCAAGACCCATTTGTCGGCTCAAGTCGCGCCAATTGAGATCCCCGACGACCCTCAGTGCTGTTGTTGATTGAAATCCTGGTCAGTACCCGTTGTAGGCGAGGGGGTTTGCGGTACACCTAGGTGCCAGCCACCTGCGTCCTTTCCCGCTCCCGGTCTTTTTGACTATGTCTTGACATCGAGCTCAAGTGGGAGAGGCGGAGTGCGGTAGATGCTGCGCAAGTCTGCTGTCAATCACGCGCAAGTCACCGTGCCTGCCCTCACTCTGTTGTGGAGCATACGGCGGACATCGTCGAAGCCGACGGTCGAACTGTCATGTCGCGTATGCATTTGCGCTGACTTCTTAATGTTGGCATACAGTTAATCTCTTTTTGACCGAAATATGTTTTAGGATATCCAAGTTTCTTTACTGTGCCAACGAAAATTGTCAACAGCGTCCAGTACTGTAACTAAACACAAAAACAACAGTTTAAAGAGCACACGGTTTAACTTAGGAATCTTGCAAAACAAACAATAACTCCTTTTGGATAGAAAAGAATATTTTTGTGGGGTTGTAATGTAGAGCATCAAACGGCATTGCGCCAAGATGTTTAAGTTATGACAGAATGTCGGCTTCTGAATGCATCTTACAGGTGGCCTGAAAAATCACACTTGGTAAAAATAACTGTATTACTATGAGCTTTTCCATTGCTTTTCAAAGTCCTTATAAACCACAACATATTTTGGAGGAAACGCACAAACGTACTCATTTGGTAGTAAACAACGTATCCAGTTTTTTTAAATCCAAAGACGACATTTTCCGGCCGAGTTAGGAATTATGAGAACTTCAGGGCCGTGAAATGTCTGCTCAAATAACATCGTACCTACTCGTTTATTAATGCCCCTCATGGAACGTAGAGTGTAGTTTATATCCATTGCCCGATTTTACGACTATGTTCGACACCTTACCAAAAGCGTTGAGAAAAATAGAACTCGTACTCAATAGAAGTTTGAAAATCCTCAACGAAAAACAGGCGGTAAATCGGGTCCAAATCTATTCGGGAACTGAAAAAAACTTTCCTAGCACTGAAAGACAGTTTTCCTTCGGGCACAAAATTTGAAGAAGACATACTTTGCCTCAAACGAATAAAATAAAATGCCTACAAAAAATCGATTACTTGTCCATTTTCTCTAGAAAATACGAACGAATTAACAGAACAAATGCGCAGTGCTTGAGTCGTGGTACATTGCCCGAGCGTAACTTGCACAGTGGTTAAAGATAGGTTCGGTGTGCAACCTTATACAGAATACCCTGTAATTATATCTCCTGATATTTTTGCAAGTCCATCTGACCGATCTTTTCCATTCCACGGCATGCCAGAATGGCTGAACAATTTTTCATGCGGTGCTTTTAATTACCGACTTTCCAGTACGCGTAGTTCCCTGTACAACCATAAAGGAGATGGACTTTTGACGATCCAGCACCGAAAAAAAATGGTTCAACCTTTTGAGGCCTCAAAATTCAAAGGGGTACAGACATGAGTCAATTTCGTTCCTTGTACCGTGCTTATTTTCATCACATGTTCCCAAATGTCCAGCGCCAGTCTCGCACTTACTTTGCATTGAATAGCCACTTAAGGGTTCAGTAATGCACTCGAGTTTCGATATTTTGAGCAGGTTACGCGCTTTACACCTAACTTTACACTCAACCTGATGTACACCATCGTTGGAGCCATAATCCAGTTATTTGCGTCATATGAAGCCACATGAAAGTGTGGACCCCAGTTTCGGCAACCTCTAAAGAGCCACGCGTCCTAAACAGACCGGGCTCGGTGGATACTACATTCTTCAGAGATGAGAGGGCAAGAAAGAGAGGTCCATTAAGTGGGCAAAGAAGGGGAATACAAGGCTTGGGGGTGCCGAAGCAGACTGAGTTCAAATGCCTGCGCTGAACGCACCTTTTTCGTTAAAAACCGCTTTTGCCAGACTCCGACGCACATCACCGTACTGAATGGAAGACCTCGACTTTCCCTGGGAGACCGCCTCCAGTAAATACTCATTAATGACTTTTCCGCCGGAGTTTCTAAGGGACAGAATGGAGGTTTATAAGAGCATAATATTTAAAGGGTACATCGTTGATTCTAGCCAGTTCAGATGGTAGGACCTCACAGATCATAAAATAACTAGCTGAGGGCCCCGATGGGGTTCAGTTGTTAAATAGTGAAATTTGAGGGGCTTGAGTCATGTGTTGTAGAAATTTCGGTCGTTTAGAGCAGGGTTCATATGTCACTTTTGAAAGTCTATTAGGCTTAATACGTTAGACAACAGGTGTAGGCAATGTGTTAGAAAGTGTAAGACATTTTTTTGCAATAAACTTGGGCGCCATGACGAATAGTAGCTACTTTTGCCAAGGGTTTATAAGTGTAATAACAAATACACTTTTTAAGCATTCATATCATGCTACCTTCCATCTAGACTGAAACGAATGCGGAATTTTAGAAAAGGTTAGGTAAGGAGGTAAGTCACACTTAAAAATATGAATACGTCGTTTGGTGTCAATAGGAAAAGACGTGTTTTTCACGGAAAATGGAAAAAAATGAAGTTAAGGTTCGTGCACTTCTTCGGCCCGCACCGAATGTTAATGAGGGCTGAGTTATTTTCTAAACTTCATTTTAAGAGATGGCCATTTAAGTTCTCCTTTTATTTGTCAGTAAGACTATTCTAACCTGACCGCCACATATGCTCTTGCTTTGATATTACTTGGTCCATTCAGTACCGTACAGGATATTGTACAATTTTGACATAGAAGACATTCACAGACAAATTCATACCAGTGACCAATGCTTGTTGTATGTAACTACTTACCTAATTTTTTTCACACTTGCCTTACATATTGTTTTCTTATGACGTTATTGTAACCAAAAGGGAGTTCAAAGGCGCTCGCCTACCTTTCCCTTGATAAATCTGATCTGATCTGGTCTAAGCGACTCCTAATGTACACGTCTCCCAGATTTCTGGTTTTCGACCATTTTCCTACAGGAATTTTCCTGCAAATCACATACCATTCCATGAGTTACGTCACTCTCTGCAAGTAGATGTGTCTTCTGTCTGGTAGCACCTAGAAACCGGCTTCGAACTGGGTTCCGCGCCAGTTTAGCTACTGAGCATAAGTAATGTTTGCCACTTAAAAGCATATTGAAACATCTGCGTCATGCAGTTTGGTGCTCACCGTGGGCAGATGAGGTATTCTGAGTCCTCACAGCCTAACTTTTTAACATTAAAGCAGGTTTCGCCTCCTGACAGCTCAATATTGTGTGCTGTGAAGGACACCTAACGCGAAAGACTGGTGCAATGATTTCTGGCTGGTTACTTGAATGCTTGCTGATTCAAGTCCGACGTAGGCCATTCACTCTACGCCAGTTCAGGTGCTGAGACCGCTTGTACTTCTCAGGTCGCTGTCGGCTACTTCCCAAAAAATACCTATTCAAAAATCCTCTTCGATAGGAAGGGCCGCTTTTTCGAATTTTCTACCGTCATTTTACGATGCATGGACAGAGTTGTCACTTTACTTGCACCAGGATTAGCGTGTTACTGCACCTGCCATTAAGGAGTTCTGTCTATGCATGTCGCTGGTCAGAACACCTATGATATCGAAACCATTTTAAGCAGTGGTAAAAAATGCGCCAACCAAATCAACCAGCAAGGCGGGAAATGGAAAAAATGAAGTTATGGTTCGTGCACTTCTTCGGCCCGCACCGAATGTTAATAAGGGCTGAGTTATTTTCTAAACTTCATTTTAAGAGGGAGGCATTTAGGTTATCTTGAAAGAACAAAAGATTTCCACGTCATACGCATGATTCCATAAAACCGGCTCCTAGTTCGCGCATTAATTTCCTCGGAAATTAAACAAGGCAAGTTGAAACTGGAGTTCATATACCAGAAAACACACGGGGAAAGCTGGGGGACCCACTGACGAGCCGAACCCCTCGCAGCTGCGTCAGGCAGCGGCACAAGATCGGCGAAACACGCGTGTCTGGGCTTTTAGCTAATACCTGTGTTGTTAGTACGGTAAATTATTGCACAAAACCGGGTCTGCATTCGCACAGACAAAAAGTGGCCTTTTATATATTATTAAGAAGCTTTCACTCTGTGAGTACCCGGTACCGTGCTCGGGGCTGCTATGCTTATCACCAATCTACCGAAAGGTTGAACAAGCCTGAGGGTTTGCAAAACCTGGAGTCTAGTATGACTGGCTGATGACGGCTAATAAGCCGAATATGATCATTCCAGTCCCCCTTTTAATTATAGGTGATACGATTCTAGCTTTAACTAAGCGACTCCTGATGCATACGCCTCCTGGAATTCTGCTTTTCGACCATTTTCCGCCGTCGTTCTTTTTGATCCTACAGGAAGTTTCCTGCAAATCACATGTCAATCCATGAGTTACGGCAGCTTGTGCATGTAGATGTGTTTTCTCTCTGGTAAGATACTCAGTCATAATTCAACAATGTGGGGCCTAGAAACTGTTTGCTACTGTGCATAAATAATGCTTGCCACTTAAAAGCATAGCATATTAAGACATCTGGGTCAGTAGTCCATGCAGTTTGGTGTAGTCACAACCTAACAATTTAACATTAAAGCGGGTTTCGCCTCCTGAAAGCTCAATATTGAAGGACAACTAACGAGAAAGACTGGTGCAATGATTTCTGGTTGGTTACTTAAGTGTTTACCACCAGGTTAGGTTCATTCTACGACGATGCGGGTGTTGAAACTGCTTGTACTTATCAGGTCGCTGTCGGCTAGTTCCCAAAAGAGTAACTGCTCAAAAAGCCTCTTCGAGAGGAAGGGCCGCTTTCCCGTATTTTCTACCCTCATTTTACGATGCATGGGCGGAGCTGTCACACTGTGCTTGCATCAGGATTAACGTAATGCTTCACCTGTCATTACGGAGTTCTGTCTATGCGTATCGCTGGTCAGAACATCTATGATATTGAAACCATTTTACGCAGTGGTAGAAAGCGAGCAAACCAAATCAACGAGCAAGACAATGAGTTCGTGGCTCAGTGGTTAAGGCGTTCGCTGTTGTTTAGAATTTTGGTCCAGAGGTGTTGTGGACCAGGGGGTTTAGTGGCACATCCGGGTGCGGTTTCCGCTGCGTGAACCCCTTGCGGCCTCTGCGCCCTCGGACTTCCTGATTCGGCCATGATATCGGGACCAGGTGGGAGAGGTAGAGAGTGCGGTATATGCTGCGCTAGTCTCCTATCACTGTAAACTGATGCACGTGCAAGTCTCCGCCCCTGCTTTCACCCTGCTGTGAAGCACACGTTGGACATCGTCGAAACTGGTAGGACCGTCAAGGAGCAGTCGTCAGCCAGTCATATCCAACCCCGAAGTGTGGAACGCCTGGGGTTCGATCCCGGGACCTGTTAGTTAGAAGTCTAACGCCTCTAACCACTGGGCAATGGGCTCGTTGACCTGTCGGTTGCGATAGGGAATGTACAATGGTAGAGGGGCGCTCACTAGGTGTTCCACACCTCGGGGTTGGGTATGACTGGCTGACGACAGCTAATATGCCAGAATAGCCATTTGAGTCTCCCTTGTCTTTGCCGGTAATAACATTCTGCCTATATCATGCGCCGCTGTGCGGCTGCTGGTTGGGCTCGAGAGAGAGAGCCCGTAAGGCACAACGGGACGATTGAGTTCTGTTAAAACTATCAGTGAGCGTCCCCCTACGATTTCATATATAATGGGCGCACACCGAAGCAAATACGCTTCGTATGGGCGATAGGAGTCACGAACAGGCAGCCACCTACCAGGCCAAGGTCGGCCAAGAGGGGAGACGACAGAGTCTGGGGGCTGTTTCGGGCTTGTTTGCCTCCATTCAGCCAATCATAACCCTGACCACCAGCTGGGACTAGAAACACAAACATGCGCACAGACGCACCTGGCGCAGCTGGTCCACCATTGGGGTCTACCAGATGGGTCATAGGCACTTCATCGAACCGAATTTCATCAGTGCCTCATCACCTGCCATTCTCTGTCGCTGCAGATCAGGTATTTATTCGGGAAGCCAATGGATCGGTGTGCGCCCAATACAATAGACCAGCGCGTAAATTCATCGGGCATGCCCGAGATACCTCACATTTTCACAGGGCAAGACTTAGAAAAAGGAAAGTTTGTCAGGCAAAGTCGCTCGAAAAATACGCAAATCACGCACGATGTCATTTCATCATTCAATAGGAATGTTGTAGATCTCGACGGCAAGCATTTTAAAGGTCAACTATGTTCTAGAGAAATCACGCCAAAAAATTGTAAATCACCCGAGAAATATGAAGATGGATCGACGGAAGTCTAGGCCATCGATGGATTTCGAGAAACCGAGGAATGGGACAAGTGCATTCAAAACGCCCGGAGGCATTTTATCCACCTCGTCGAAGACGAATATCGAGACGCCACAGGATGCAACTGCCTTGCGTATTTGGGACTGAAGTTCAGTCTACAGACGAAAAAAAGGAAAATTAAATCGCAACAGGAAATTCAGCTAAGTTTGCTTATGATGCATCGATGATCGTGAGAGGGCCGCTTTTACGGATTTGTAAGAGCAAATTTATGGGCTCTATGTCCTAGTATGTATGCATTGTGGCGTATGAGTGGCCGTGACTGAAGGACCTGTGTTCATATGTTTTAGCCAGCCAGTACAATTGGCCGGGATGTGAGGTAATCACGTAGGGAAACATTTGCTGTGAAGTGTTGCAAGTGTTTTGTACTGGTTTGACGGTTGACAGAAAGCGTCAGTTCACAACGCTAAAAAAATTGATACGTGCAAGAGGTTGTCTGCACTCTTAAATTTCAAGAAGCGGCTGTTCAAAGCCGAGGCATTTGAACGGCAAACGACTCAGACAAGAGGTTTTGTCCAGACGCCAGTTTAATCGACTGGCCTGTCTCAGAATAATCAGGTCTTAAACTTAGTACAAGTAGGACGGCCGCAATAAGCTTGAAGTCGACCGTCGATGGCCCAGTTACCAGCTAATCATGCCGGCTAAACATTTACCTTATAAAGTTAACCGCCAAAGCATACAAGTAACCACCAACGCTATCGCGACCGTCAGTTGACAAAAAACTGTCTAAACGACAAAGATGGAGAAAAAAGGATTACTCCGAGTCCAACTAAATCAACAAGCAAACTTAGAGAGTGAATGGACGGCGCATATATTGGAGACGTTGGCCAGTAGGTAAGTTTGTTCCAGAGAGTTCTTGCTTCTTAAACTATCATCCTGGGGTTCTAGCCTTTGCTGGCTTGAACATCGTGGAATCGAACTCTCAAACATGTCTTACCTGACGTATCAGGGCATAACGAGGGTAAAGAAATCAACTGAACGTCCAGTCTTATCATCTAACTGATCCGCAGTGCCAGAAGGATTGGTTTCCAAACAGATATCAGATCGGCATTCTCAGATTGAAGGATAAACGTCCTAGTGTTTAAACATACTTGGGTTACCGGTAACGTCGGGGAGATCTATCGACTTTGGAAAATAGGCCAACCCAGTCCTCGGGCAGTTAGAGATAGGCGAGTTGAGAGCACTTCATCATTACGAGACAAGATAGTGTGGAGAATGGGGACTTTTCGACTTCAACATACCAAGTTTGATCCGATTACGAATTTCTAGATTCTCGGCGTTTGTGTGAGTTTAGATATAGTTTGTAGCCTACTAATGAACCCTGTATCATAACGACTAGCATGTAGAGATCCGTGGTGTTGTTCGATTAAACCAGCTAATAGCCGAGCAAAGCCGTCTAGTGTACAGTTCAAAAAGAAGAAGCCTACTCCAACGTCCTAGATACACTCCCACGGCTAACACTCAATAACGATGACAAATCTCAGTGTAGGAACCACCACTGCATCGAAATTCCTTGAGCTGCCGCTAGTTTTTACTTACTCTGTCAGACAGATTCCAACCGTACTGACACGGCAAGTCGACGACCTGCAAAACAACTCTCGTTAAGCACAAACTCGATGAGATTTTTCGAAATATAATTTTTCTTGAAACGACCGGATAAGTCAACGGAACACTGGTGAATGTGGCCAAATTGGACCCACAGTCCACGGATCGCCTGCCTGTGACGAAAGTCAGTGGAACTGACACAAAAGAGTAAAATAAAATCACTAAAGACACGCCAGTCACGGAGTACAGTGGCCAAGGCAGTCATGAAGAACGTTGTTAGGTGAACACACGTAGAGTACGCAATAATAAATTTGACCTGGTAGGCAGCGGCAGATTCGATTGTATTTCAGTTCATCCGCATGCTGTTGGTAGTTGCGACACGCGTCTCGTACACAAGGGTTCAGAAGAGCGTTTCTGGTCTCTACTGTGATAACATTCAACGAACGGAAGCAATCAGTCAACAAGATGAATGCAGGATTAATCGTTTAAGACAAGGCAAATGCCCCGTTGGATCCACATGTGCCGAACACAGAAGCAACTCTTCAGCATGTTATGGATCGTCCGAAGGTGTCAAGAAGTGAGTTACTGCAAGAATCGATGATGCACCTAATAAATTAGCCGTCTTGCTCGATAAGCAGCTCTATCGTCCCAACGCACAGCCTTTTAAGAGTGACGGTAACCTACACAATATCTTTCTTTTCCCACCACACTCGCTAAGTTGCAATAGAACAAAAACGTTAGGACTAATAGAAACAACCGCGGGCGTAACGACTGAAAATACGTCTATGCGCACCATTCATTTCCTGGTCCCTATGCAAGTACCAGCCGAGTTACAAAGGAGGAAAACGTCTCGAAGGAAAACGCAAGTAAGAGTGCCACAAAACTACATAACGAAACCACCGGTGTCAAGACGGAGTCAAGAAGACCGGAGGCGGGATTAGGCGCAGTGACTGACATGAAAGTAGGCGCTAAACTGATCCAATTCATCCTCCCTTTTCGTACACATAATTTGCAAAGTTCGGGTGAAGTCAACTGAAATTGAGATCAAGCGCAAGGGCTGAGGTGCATTAAAACTATTCAGTGAATGCTACATGTGCTGGCCCGTCACATACTCGAACCAGATTATGAAAAACGAATCTCGGTTCTTGGCAAAGGGGATGCCAACAAGATTATATCAAGAAACCACTATAGCCTGGCGCTCATGTCGGAAAAACACTAAATTATCTCGCCAGATCTTTTGTAGCATGAGTCTGTCGCCTGCGAGTCGGATAGGCCTCACTCTCTCCTTTTCATATCGGACCGATGGTAAGTCTGACCTAATGAGACAACAGATTGGACACGGTGAGTAACACAGACTAACACGTAAAAATGCTGCTCGGGTGAAAACAATGCTGAGGAACTTTGCGTGTCATCTAGGTCGTTGGTGTAAACAGAATGTACACTAGTCAGCCATAAGGGAAAATCAACAAAAAACCAGGAGGCCCTGAACGAAATGCAAACCAGAATAACCGCGTGGTTGACTAACCTTATAATCTTCGACAAGGTCTTCGTGTGGAAAGTGGATGGTTGAGTCGTAGAAGTGATAAAAACGGCTGTGTTCGCCTTTTCGTAGGATATTGGAAACAATAATGGAGGATGCAAAATTTTTCCCAACGCCGGTAAATCCATGTAAGGATAGAACCAGCGCTTTCCTCGGGTTGGGGTCATCCATGTGGGCCTGACAATATAGTTAAAAGCGCAATCGGAACCTTCACGTGGCTGTACAGGCGCTCCTCCGCAATATGTTGTCCATGAAGTCTAGATCTCAAATCTTCACGCAGTTCTAAAATGTTATTTCAGAAAAGACGCCAATTTTACTTGATGAATCAAAGTGAACAGCCGTCTTGCAGCACTCTCTTACGAGGCACTCCAGATGATCATATGCCTGATAAGCGGCCCATCCTGCCAGAGGTGGGATTACTGAAATAAACGGGAATCCGGTAATGAAAGCCACAGATTCCGAAAGAAGCGATATCAGGATTATGAGTATGTGAATGGGCATGTATTCAGTAGAAGTAACGTGAAAACCCAATCAATGAACAGACTCTATCCAACCCCAATTGACTCTACTACTCGAATATCGGAATAGTAAAACAAAGCCGACACTAGGGACTACTTTCCTGGCGGTGCAGCCTTACGAGAAGTCGAACTGCCTAAAATCATCCGCTCATTGTTTTAGAGTTGCAAAAAGCACAATGTTCGTACTGTGCGCTATCGGGCGTGCATTTATGGATTTTGACGAAGACGTCTTCTGGAAGATTTCGTGAACATCCGGGTAGTTGCATTTGGAATACAGTACACAATCCTGAAGGCAATGGACGATTAAAGTTCAAGTGTCATTGAAAGAGTCCAGATAAGGACCACGACGATGGTTTGGAGTTAAAATTCCTTTCCTTATGCAACCCGCCTAATAAATATCCACCTCTTCCCTTTCCGTTTTAGGCCACTGACAGTGCCCAAGAGGTGCTATAATGAACCTATTCTATTCTGTTCTATCTCTTGAAACATTCTACGTTGTGTAAGGACTGGACTGCAGTCTGGCCTTTAACACTTTTTCGAATTCACTATCACAAATTACCTCTGGGGCCGTTTGTTGAAACTGGGCACTCAGGAGGCAAGGATGGATGTGCAGAGGTTCCCTTCTCCGTCAGAGTGGTCGAACCATTGAATACCCTCCCCACAGATATCGTCATCACACTACGTGTAGGAAGATTTAGAAGGAACCTTGCGTTATTACCGTACCGTAATGAACAAGAACGATAAGAGTTTGTGCTGAACCCCTGAGACTCATGCTCAGTTAGTCATACTATAATGGATCTATTTAAGTCACTTTAACCCACATATTTTCTTTGTACACCGCGCCCGATTTTACTTTACAACTAGGGTACTCGAACACACACCTATTTCCATCAATAATCTGGACTGAGCCGAACCCTCAACTTGAGCAGGAGACGTTGAATCGGAACAATACCACAGGTCGTCCTGAAATGAATGTGGGCGGCATGCACAGTGTTTTTTTATCGTCCTCTTTAGGCGGGCGGTTCGGTATATTCACTGAACAATCATGGAGGTCATATCGGATTCAGACATTTACATGTGGAGTAATAATGATAATAATATTTAATACCACTTTACACGCATCGTTAGGGGAGCGTTAAACACAAATTTGGGATGTATGCCCATGGAAAATGCCAGTATTCGGAGGGTGATGGCATCTGCCAACTCACGTCACGCGCATTAGTGCCCTGATGTCCTCCATTGTTGCCGTTGGTTAAAATCCAAGTTAAGGGCTTGTTGCGGACCAAGGGGTGTGGTGGTGTGCCTAGGTTCGGGACCGGCAGTGCCAGCCATCTGCCCCTTCTACCTTTGCCGATCTTCTTAACTATGTCTTGACGCCGGGCTCAGGTGGGGGAGGGGAAGGAAGTGTGGTAGATAGTGTGTAAGTCTGCTATCACTGTAAAAGAAATAACACGCAAGTCACCGTGCCTGCTTTTCCTCTAGTGTGGAGCATGCGGTGGACATCGTTCGAACTCCTGTTTTTCGTCGAGCGCACTTTTCTGGCTTTGCATTGTGCCTAGCATGTTCGTTACACACGACCTTCCTTTATGAAAACTGTATTGTGCGTTAGAAACGAGGTTGTGGGTTTATAAATAACTTGTAAACGCCTTTTTGATGGTCTTCTCCATGACTCTGCAGAAGACTGATGTCACGCTGGCGGGTCAGTAGTTGGTCGGAAGCGCAAGACTACCACGTCTTTCGAATCGGTATAATACTTACTGTCTTTCAACTGTGGGAAGAACTCCAGCATAAATAATTTTGTCACAAGGCAGACAAGTGTCTAGCGAGTTATCGGGCATGTTCACGCGGCAGTTTTAGGGAAATCATATACGGACGAGGAAATTGACATCCCTTCAAGTTTTTTGGTTTTCAAACATCGCTTCTTCGCGAAACACCATGTTTTTAATAATTGACGCTCCGATGCTCTCGTAACTAGATGGCATGAAGTACGCTTCTCTTGTGAAAACAGACTAGAAAAACTGTGAAAAATGTCTGGGTTTGTTTGCATTATCAGATATCCTGTGACCCTCAAAATTTCTCATACCAAGTACAAGGTTCTCGATACTTGTGTTCTTTTGTAAGTTGCTGTGGCGCAATTAAGAATTTTGAACAGGTCGCTGGAGCAAATTGCTCTCGAAATCTTAAATAACACCCAGTCATTGACGGCGTTTCCAGAGAAAAGAACACCCCAGCCTATCCGCAGTGTCTAGACTCTCATTTGACGAGAGTCTCCTTGTCACATATTTGACCTCCCTTCGTTCATTGCCAGGGCAAAAATATAAACAATGCTACCGTAAAAGTACTGTATGACCATTTCGAACCGAGTAGAAGGTTAGCAGTTTATCTTGTCCATACTGCCAGGATCCTTTGTGAAAACGAAATCCAAGCAAATAGCATGTTGCCTCTCAGGCGTTCTCGTGGAAACTGGGATATGCCATATGAGAGGAACTTAAAATGTTGTATTAGGAGACTTTGATCGAAGGCGCACTTCGAGCACTTCTCCTCATCGAATGCCGAGTGCATTGTAATCACTCACAAGAACAACATCAGGTTGACGAGCGATTTCCTTTGTTCTCCACTAGGCAAACGTCTACGTCAAGGTCCGCCCTCGGTACTGGGTCGACAGTCGCAACTAGATGTCTTTATTGTTGAGCGTATATCGTCAGTAATTTTTTCGGTCTTCTCACACACGGCCTATTTTGTAAGTTCAGGACAACTCCTTCACCCTGGCAGTCCTTTCTCTCTCCTAAAGAGTGGATATCCTGGTAGTGTTATTTCAAAATTGCTGGCCCTCTGGAACAGCAATGTTTCTGTTATTGCTATAACACCTGGAGATGGATCGACTACCTGTATTCTTAGCTCGTTGATTTTTAAAACAGACTCTGGGCATTGGTATACAAGAGTTGCCGCTTGGAACATTCGGCGATGTTTGGGTCAGTTGGTCGCAAGCTTGCCCCTGCCACGTTGCCGCTGTAATCGTTAGAATTGGCTTGTTTCACAGCAGAATAAATTAGCCGACAGTGTTTGTCACTAATGGTATTGTGGCTCTATTATGCATCGTTACGCGGCTGCTGGTTGGGCACGGAAGAGTGTTCCAATGCACAGCTGGACGTGTGAGTTCCGTAACAGAATCAGCAAGCGCCCTTCTACCATCGCATATACCCGATAGCAACCGACAGGACAATGAGCCCGTGGCTCAGAGGCTAGTGGCGTTGGGCTTCTAGCCAAAAGGTGTCGGGATCCAGCCCCAGGTATTCCACACTCCGGAATTTAGTATGACTGACTGACAGTGGCTAATGAGCCAGAAATGGCCATTCCAGTCTCCCTTGTCTTTGTCCGTAATGTTATTCTGTTGGCCTATCAGGCTCCTTCTTTGCTGCCAAAAAAATTTAATAGGCCGCGGTCACACAATTTCCGACTGTTATCTCTTTTTTGCGGTCTTGAGGGTTGCGTGAGCGGTTACCGACTCGCTCGGGCAAAGCTTGTCATTTGGAAATTGCCGGAAAATGTTAACGGCGGCGAAAATCTCTTCCTTCGGTGGAGCGGATTTAGCATCGCTTAGACCTCGAGCAGCTACGTAATTCTGGTGTTTAAGTGGACCCTCCGGTTACTTCCGGCCACGTGATCGACTGAAGGCTTCGAGGGATGAATTGTCGTTTTTGACTCTAAATTCTTGTTGTGGAATTTCCCGGTCCCCTTAGCTACGAGGTTTTGTTTTCACATTCAACAAAGTGCTCATCAGAACACTCAGGATAACTGAGCAAATTTTATAGCAACGGTAGACCGATCTACCTGGCTATATTACCTCTCGTCACGACAGAAATGTCATCATTTACATTTACGGATGTAGACTAGATAGATTCTGCGAAATCATTTATTATGACAAGCAATATTTCTGTGTCCTCACTTCGGCCGTTTGGCATAGAAATGCGATCTGCCTTTAGAAGAGGTCTCTTTACCGTTGTTATGCCACTGCTAATATCAGCGTCTTTACGCTTTGCCTCCTTTAACTCTTACATCATTGGCTTCTTTAAATTTGCAAGCTTGGTCTCCAGTTTTTGACTTTGAGCCGGGCCTTTGAGCATCACAAGAAAGATTTATCTTCGTATCCCACACCTTTTGCAATAATTACTTTCGGCGCGCTTTGCCGTTCCTTGGCCATTGAAATAAAGAGAGTGAACTCATATCCTGGATGTGAAGGTCGTATGGATGGACTTTCCCTTAAACGAATTGCTGACGCTCGTCCTGCTACTATTGCAAGATTTCCGAGAGTCCATAAAAGTTAAAATGAGAGCGCTGGTATACATCATTTTTCGAAAATGTAACGGATATTTCGAACTGTATACGAAGTGCGGTTTTAAAGAACTTAGTAGGCGAGTTATTTCAAAAATTTACAAATTATGTGAATCATATTCAAAAACAACTTAGCCGCCTGCAGGTCTCAGGGGTGTGGATAACTTTGAACTTCCGTGGACTCGTACACAAATAGAACCCCGTCACAAAAGTAAATGCGTTCTCAGGTTGAGGGCCTGTAACCAATCTAATTCTTAGCAAACAAAAACGTTCCCTAATAAGCTTTCTTTACTTAAAACCGGCTTGACTCTGGTCTTTTGATGGTAAAGCTAGAAATTTCTGTAGCCTTTCGCTAGTTACGTTTACGAGAATACCGGCAGAAGATCCCCATGAATTGTCTCAATGAACATCCGGTAATACTATATAATACACGAAGAATAATATCGCCGTCTTTTCTACTTGTAGACCGTTCTGGCTACTCTACTTATTTTTGGACACAGTTCTATCACGACGGATTAGCCACCAAGTGACCACAGTAATACTGAAGTCACTTCTTAACTATTCACTTAACGACCCTTTCGCTGTCAATTTCCTTATGTGTTCGCGGTCAGTTGGTGACACAGCCGGTTTGGATGTATTTACCGAATGGTT